CTCCCTTCCCCTGCGTCCCACAAGTAGGAAGCCATCAAGGGGGGGAGGAAGAGGGATTGAGCAGCAGAAATCAAAAAGTATGTGCTGTCTTATGGAGGGCTGCAGGGATCACAGAGGAGGAGAGGACGGGGGGGGGGAATCAGCTGCCATGGGAAGAGAGGAAAAAGTTCTGAGCGAACAAAGTTGTCTTTAGCCATCGAGGAAAAGCAGAGGGCACCAACTGCACCACAGGGCAAGAAATAAAGGATGGAAGAGAGGAGAGGGCTCAGAGTGGGGGGATGCGCGCACAGGGTGGTAGGGGGATAGGAGGAAGCCGGGCTTCGATAACTGGCCGCTTGCCAGAAATCACGATCCCCCTGAGGGAGTGATGCTTCTCTGAGCCAGAATGAAACCGAATGTCCTTCAGAGAACTCCGGGCCTGCCTGAATGAAGATCAACGGCTTTCCCTTCCGCTTGGCTCTGCTGGGCCCACATGGAATCCGGGGCTCTCTGACAGGGCATGACTCGGCCGGGGTAGGTGGGGGAACAGCGGGCAGGAGAATCAGTGTCAGGAGGGGGAGGGCTGTTCTGCAGGGCTGCCTCTCACCTCTTCAGGTGAAGACTACAGGAACTGCGGCTGCTTTGGCTGCCCACCAGGCGGGCGGTCTCAGAAGAGTCACAAACACCTCCCCCTGCAGGCAGTCCTCTGCTTCCCCCCCCTGGACTTGCCATTCTCATCTAGCGCAGGTGATTCCCACTGAATCCACCAGAATTAGCGATCGGGGCAGCGGAGGAAGTTTCTGACTCCGGTTAGCACCACTCGGTGCCTTCCTGCACCTGGGAAGCGTTCAGACTAAGCCGACCTTCAGTTGTTTGTGGGGCAAAGCCGAGCAATATCGCGCCGACTCCTCTGCAGAATACGAGGAGAGACCAGCTCGGCTGCAAAAAGGCTTCCCTGGAAAAAGCACTCCTGTTTGATTCAGCCGAAGGACATCCGGGACCGCACGGAGAGCCTTTAAAGCCATTCCCCGATCCCGAGGTGGATGCAAAAGAACACCGCCGCGTATCTTAGACTAAGTTCCTAAGACCATCGGAAATATGTGTTTTCCGATGGTCTTAGGCGACCCCTTTGAAAGGGTCGTTCGACCCCCAAAAGAGTCACGACCCACAGGTTGAGAACCGCTGCCTTAAGGTGTCTGCACAATCAATAGCTACTTTTACACAGTTTCAGATAGTGGATGCATTTACCTTATGTTGATGAGATCAAAAGCTCAACAGGGTTGTTATCTGGTTAGCATTTGAATGGGAAACCTCAGGGATGCTGAGTATACTTGTGTTTGTGTGTGCCTCAGAGTCAACCTCAATTGCTGGCAACATGCACTTTTCTTGGTAAAATATTTTTGGAACTGGCTTGCCTTTGATGGCTTACCTAGGAGTCAGAAAAGTGACTGTCCCAAAGTGACTTAGCTGGGTTTCATGTCAGGCATGACACTTAAAAGAATGGTTTCTAGTTTTGTGCCTTTAACTATTACACAAAATTGGCTCTTGCAGACTAAAACTCATAAAATATTGGCATTACTTTATAGTGTCTCAGAAGAACTTATATGAAAGTCAGCCATCTATATCAGCCAACGAAAACTATAACTATCATCCATCAAAGCATGATTAAATAATCTGATCTTCAAATATCAGCAGGGAAGGGGCAAGGCATCACTCCTAAGTTAGGAGATTCGAAAGCATGGATGCTATTATGGTCTTTGGGCCCCAAAATAGCACTTTTAATTGAATGTAGAAATCTAGCAATAATGAAAATGCAATCAGAGATAAGTTTTATATTGTAGTGCCAGTGAGCAACATGAGGTAGCTTCTGGGCTGCTACATGTTATCTTACTGCAGTTTCTTGGCCATTTTCAAAAACTACTGCATATACAGAAAAAAAAATGGGGGGGGGGAGGTGCCTTCAAGTTAGCACTGATTCCTGATAACTGCCTGGACAAGTCCCTGCAGTTTTCTTGACTTGATTTCAGAAGTGGCTTGCCATTGCCTGCTTCCTAGGGCGGAGAGTGAGTAACTGGGCCAAAATCATCCAGCTGATTCTGTGCTTAAGAAGAACTAAAACTGGACTTCCGGTTCTAGTTCGCAGCGTCGCTAGTCGCACGGGTAGACTTGTCTCCTCGCCGGCTAGCTTTCCCTCCGTCGGTGGAGCCTTATATGGCTCCAAAGTCGCCCTGGAGGGTGCGACTTCTGTCGAGGAGGCTGCTGTCTGGCTGCGGAGGAGCAGTGGCTCCTCCAGCTGTCCGGACAATCTGCGAGGGCTGATGGAGAAGAAGATCGGTCAGTAAAATGGCCGATCGCCCTGCCGCTTCAGACCGTAAGTCAGAGAACATCTAAGCTGTGAGTGTCCCCGTGGTGAACCCGGGTGAGAACTTTCTTTGCAACTCTCTCTTTTCTACTTTTTTTTTGGTATCTGTAAGAGCTTTTGGAATTATTTCCCTGGCTTAGAAAGGCAGCTTCTACTTTTTTTGGGAAGAAAGGCGTTTTATAAATATAGAAAAAGACTATAGTTTACTTTTATGTATATCTTTTTCTTTGGATATAAAAAAGGAAAAAAGACGGAAAAGGTTTTCTACTCTCTTTTCAAGAACTGTATTATTTCTTTTCTTATACATCATACTTTAAAAGATAGAAAAAAAGGAATTGATTTCTGGAAAAGACCTTTGTTAACTCACTGAGGGCATCTAGTGGTGAAAGTTTAATACTGCAACTTCTGATTATTTTCTTCAAGATGGAACATTGAATTTAAGATTTCAAACTACAAAGCAACGACGCTGCAAGGAGAAGAGAAAGAGATGTTTATTGCAGAGGAAGGGATTTATATTTTCTCAAAGACTACTACAAGCAACAAAAATGGATCTACTGGCTGAAAGAGAAGCGCTTCTATGGAAGCCTGTGTGGCATAGAAAAAACCCCAGAATTAGACTGAAAAAGAAATTTAAAACTGTTTAATGGATTAAAAGGCAATGCTGGTTTTATGGATTGTTTTAAGGATAATGATCTAGAGGTAAGAAAAATACAATTATATACATGTGTGTTTAAATTAGTTAGATGATCTTTTTGCTTTATGGAAATTTATCTGGTATAGAAATATGAAAGTTAAAATTGGAGTGAAAAAAGAAACTTGGCTTTATGGATTGCATTAAGGATAATATATATATATATATATATATATATATATATATATATATATATATATATATATATATATATATATATATATATATATATAA